TTACTATGAGGAGCTTTCTTCTCCTGACAGGTGGGTTTGGGGAGTATGAAGAGAGGTCAAGGCTGATTCTTGAACCCCTTGATCTCAAACCTCCCTCTGACACTTCTCCCTACCCCAAACATTCACTGTGTTTATTTTGCTTCTACTTCATCAGAGATTTGTCATAATTATAGCCCTTAATCTCTGATAACAAACCGCCAATGTTATTTTAAACTTTCCACTCTGATTGGAACCCACTGCTCCTGACAATACACTATCTTGGGAGATGATTTCCTGCAGGTGTTTCATCTCCAAGAATTTCATCCTATTTCAATTAATTTGTGAATTTGCAGGAACAAAGAGCGTTATCAGTAAATGGTATACATTTGTAGTATCTGTTATTGTATACACGCTGAACTACATATCCTGTTTCTAGATGGCATACACTGATTTGCTGCTCCTGTAGCGAAGTCTTCCTTAGGCTGTTGTCTGACGCTGATTTACTACTCACTTATAAATAGGACCATACTTTGTTAATAAAAACTTTACTTTTGAATGCTTTTTTGAAAACAAGACTTTTAAAACTCTCTCTCAATGCAATTTACAAGATATTACTGTTACAAAGATATTTCACTGATTGTGAACAAGATCACAAGACGCTTAGAGCTAAGTGAAAGACAAGTGTCAAGACTTCCCATGCTTGCCAACCTTCTCTATTCAAAAGGGAGGCTGTGGATGTTTGGCCCCATAAATCAGCAGATCTTTTAAGTTGTTGGTAATTGTAAGAATCCCTTAATACATAAAAAGATCATATTTTAAGGCATTAATCTGTGAAAAGAGGGGTCTATATATTTATAATGAAAACCTCTCTCCTGGACAAACCATAAGTATGTGTATCAGTACTCAGTAAGAAGCTGACTCTCACTCTGGAATACTTCAGATATACAATTATTATTTTGAATATTCCAGCTTTGAAGATGTTAAGCTAAAACAGAAACTGAAAGAACAATATATTCTCAGAACAACAGGTAGTAAGTAACATGTTAGAAAACGTATACCTGTGCTTACTTGGAACATCTTTCATGAGTGTTACCTATACTAAAATCTCTAGAACAGGGACTGAATACTTTATTATAGAAATATGATATAGGTTCTATCTTGATTGAAATCTCCTGACATGTCAGATACAACATGTGCACATCAATTGCAGTTACAAGAATACAAAAATATGTGACACAAGTTCTTGCATGTGACAAGTGGAGGGGGCCTTGGACCCTTGAACTAGGTGAACACATGAGGAATGTGCAGCACATAGCTGTGTGGCCATGGGTTTAGAGCTGTGGGGTTACGGTGGATAACCAAGTATGATAGGAACCTCACTTGTACGGGGTATAATGTCACCAGATGTACCAAGGGACACCACCCACCGCATTGTAGACATTCAATAAACGTGTTCAGTTGGTTACAGCCGATCAAACTTGACCGCACATGTGGATAAAGATTCCACAGGAAGAAGATCATTCTGATGTTGTGTGTTAAAAGTTTGTCACAATTCTATTTACTATGTACATACTGGGATAGATAGCATTGATACTATGGTAAATGTGGTTCTCGTTTGATAGACAAATTACTCTTTAAAATGAAATAATGAGTTTAGATTTTTCATTTTCTTTTTTCTTTTTTTTCTTTTTTTTTTCTTTTTTTTTCTTCGTTTCATTTATTCATTCTACTTTTACAACATAATTTCCCAAGAATGAAGTAAAATGTGATTGATTTAATTTTTATTTTCCCTAAAATGAATATTAAGAATTAAGTATTGCAGTCCTGGTCTCCTTAGTTATTATTGGTGTCATGATTAACATCCAGTAAACAGTTCTATAGAGGAATGATATTGTACACAGCATTTTAATTCCTTCTAACGTCGAGTTAATTTACCATGCCCAGGAATCTCTGGGTGGCATTGTCGTCTACTGTCATCTCTGACACATCGACGAGAATCATCGACGATGATCTTTTCAGAGTTGTCAAGATCCACCCTGGCTATTATAGTCATTGTCAGAACATAGACAACTTAGGTTGAGTTTGAATAGACGACAGATGGTACAGGATGGTAGGATGTATAGCATATCAAAATAAAAACGCAATAAAACGGACATTTGCTTAATAAAGTGTGATAATGAGTAATCATGTTTAGATGTTTTAGAGCGATTCGTTTGTGCAGGAGGTTGGACTCTTTGATATGATATGTGTTAGGTATTTTTATACTGTTAATTAGTAAATCTGATATCTCCTTGTAAAGACCATAGATCATACTACTATAGCCTCATAGTTTAAAGGTTGTTTGGAACTTCAGACTCAGGGTAGTTCTGGTTAAACTATCAGGAACCTGTCTGTAATTCAGAGCTAGAAAAGTAGATATATTCACAAAGACTTTACAAGATTTAGCAATGTTTTCATCATACTAAATTCATGATCTCAAAGAATTTGAATGTTTAAATTAAGACAGAGAGATTCAAACCATGTGGTAGACCATAGAAGAGGTTCACAAAGTAAATGTTAAACTAAGGTCACTAAAAACAAACATTGTCCAGTATCAAACTTGACAGTTTGGTGTTGTTTTTGTTTTGTTTTATAGGACAAAGAGTTTTTAATTAATACATTCACTTCAAGACCAATGTGATCACATGTTCATTGTGAGACCAATGTGATCACATGTTCAGTGTGAGACCAATGTGATCACATGTTCAGTGTGAGAACAATGTGATCACATGTTCAGTGTGAGACCAATGTGATCACATGTTCAGTGTGAGAACAATGTGATCACATGTTCAGTGTGAGACCAATGTGATCACATGTGCAGTGTGAGACCAATGTGATCACATGTTCAGTGTGAGACCAATGTGATCACATGTTCAGTGTGAAACCAATGTGATCACATGTTCAGTGTGAGAACAATGTAATCACATGTGCAGTGTGAGACCAATGTGATCACATGTTCAGTGTGAGACCAATGTGATCACATGTTCAGTGTGAGAACAATGTGATCACATGTTCAGTGTGAGACCAATGTGATCACATGTTCAGTGTGAGACCAATGTGATCACATGTTCAGTGTGAGACCAATGTGATCACATGTTCAGTGTGAGACCAATGTGATCACATGTTCAGTGTGAGACCTTATTGACCATACATTAATTAATTACTCGATCAATAAATATAACTACATGTTCATTGCTATACCAATGTGTTCAAATACACATTGCTGAACCTTTCCTGTTGTACTGATGGACACATCATGTTCTGGTATAAGGAGAATGATATACATTGTACAATGATGTACAAAATTGTATAGCTCATACTTTGAACATCGAGGCTAAAGATGTTCCAAAGTATGATATTTGTTTATCAGCAAGACTAAGGACTACAGTGGTTCATGACATCAGCTAGACCTATAAATTCACACTGATATTGGAGGGGGATTACTTTCAGTCGGCCTTCAAGCTTGTAGCGCCACATCAACAATACAACCCGAACCAAAAACTTTGGGTCAATCTGGTAAAACAATGACCATCAGATGACCTTGGACAGCCAATCAGAGAATGGTATTTATGCGACAGCCTTGTAATAATATTATTATTTACTAGAGATTCAGCTGGTGACCTACATCTGTCAATATAGTTAAATCCTTATCCCAGTCCTCTATGCAAACATCTGTTACGCCATATTGATTCTGATCAGATCTCCCAATAAAGAGTTTTATCAGTCATTAAACAATCAATATGTTCCACATTCAGCACACTAATGTTTGAAATACCCAGCCTCACATGGACCTCAATTGGTGTATCATCCGCTATGGGTCATGGCCAGGTACTCTTGGAACGTACCATTCCACAGGCATGATATTGGTAGTGCACCTTGTCTAAAGGACCAGTAAGCTTATGGCATACTGCTTTGTCTGTTGTCCAACGCTGTTGTCTGTCAAATTTTCTTTTTCTAAAAATTGCTTCTAGTCCTAAACCACTAAACAGATTTTGACCAAATTTGGTCAGAAGCATCCTTGTTCATTTGTATTCTATGTTAAGATATCCTGTGTGGAAACATACGCATATAAATTGTTACCAAAAAGCTCAGGTCGCAGTCGTTCCTACGTAATATCAGTTTTATTGTTTTAAAGACATTGTTGATGGTGAACTTTGACCCTTTTACCTTGACCGATGAACACCTAAATATGATTATTAGATGTATAACTTGATGTTATAATACCATTTGGTAAAATAGAACAAATCTGTGAATATTTGGTTGATTCTGGATACGATGGGCAGAAGATGGAACTGGAAGGGACAGACAGACTTATATGCCCCCCAATGAAATAAGTATAAAAATCTTGTCATTGAAAAAAAAAAAAATATATATATATATGTGTTGCTGAAACCTGAAACTGTTTACTACTGAAAATCATCACCCTTTGATCAGATGTCATCTTAGTGTTAATGTCAAAACGCAATTAAATGAACATGTACTGGTATTTTCATGCAAAGTGAGTACAATTGAAATGTTTTGCATGAGATCCCAGGTCAAATGAATGTAATAGACAAAATACACGGGAGAATTAATGGGGTTTTTCTCTGCTGAAATGATAAACAGAGGTAAACAAAAAATCACATTTTCAAAGCACCACACAGTTTCTGAATACTACCTCATTCTTGTTCAGACTGCATGTAATAATTTGGATGCATATTTTCATAACCAAAGATACAATATCTTATAATTCAACTATATCTGACAGTTTAAGTGTGAATGGGCCATATTTCAATCAAATGTCATAGTTATATCAGTCTTATCAAGTCTTTGATAAATCTTCCATTTTACAAAAAAAAACAAAATACACCAGCTAACATCCCCAAGGAAGACTGCGTTTAGATAGTAAAGAGACATCAGGGACTCTTTCTAGATCCAACATCTGTATAAATACATACCTGTCATATATTTGTTACCTGATACCCTACACTTAATTAACTTACCTTTATCAGAAATAACAGGTACACCAATTTAATTCAAGGTCAGCGATATCCACAAACACATCGATCTGTCATCAAAGTTTGTCCTTTTAAACTATCGTAGTAAAATGGTTCACTACAGTGTCAACAAATGTTGCTCTTCTGCTTATCACGCAGGTATGACCCAAGTACTGAGGCTGGGTTGACTGCCAGCCTAGCTCAGCATCCCGTGGTGGTACAGGTGACGTGGGTTTACATCTATGGGATTTCCCAGGCTAACTGGTCACCTGTAAAAACAGAATTGAGTGGAGCATTGATAAACAGTTAAAGAGTTATTTGTAACACACAATGTCCCTCTATCGAACACGTCCACAGATTGGGAGGGACAGCTCTCCTCCTTATACTCAATATACTGTGTCAGTACTGTACTTCAGTATTAGGTAACATAAAACAAGTGTGTGCTTCATAGGAAGCTTGATTGACAATGAGTTTCAGGACCTAAAGTAAAATAAACAAAAAAAATAAATCAGAATTCACTTTAATAAATTGTTTAAGCGAGAGGAACACACCCTGAAAAGGAAAGAATAATTTAATTTGTGTTTTATTGATGTTTTTAAAGTTTTTGAATTTTTCTGTTTTGTAGTTTAAAGCTTGCGATACTATCAAAGAACCACAGGGCTGTGTACAGCTTGTCAGCTGCATTAGCACACCTTACCTGACAACAAGCGTTGTTGGATAATATTTCAAAATCTGCAGGCAATTTAATATTTTTAATAAGGTTTGATTTTCGTTAAAAATATTATAATGGTAATCAATATGTTGAGAATCAAGCGTGGAAGTTGCAGTGATAAAGGGATTTGTTGTGCTTGTAACGGAGGCTAGTGTAACAAGCTCTAATATCACACATAAAAAGTCTGTTTACTGGCTGTTTCTTTTGACACCTTGATTTAATTTGGTTTTGATTTAATTTTTATACCATTGGTTTTGACATCTGTGATGGACAGTTGGTATACTATGATCCCCACACCTGTTACCTGGTTGTGACATCAATATCTTACAGGTGGAACGTTTTTACACACCATCACTAATGCTAGCTAGTTTTAAAACAATGGTAAAAAGCAGTAGAATTACTTGAAAACACTTGACTGACCACGCAGTTTGGTTGTGAAGTATCTTACAACAATAAACAGTATATCTGATTGCCTGGGTACATTAGTGAAAACCTGGACAGGTCATTCCTCTAGTGTTAGCCTGAATAGGTCATTCCTCTAGTGTTAGTCTGAACAGGTCATTCCTCTAGTGTTAGCCTGAACAGGTCAATCCTCTAGTGTTAGCCTGAACAGGTCATTCCTCTAGTGTTAGTCTGAACAGGTCATTCCTCTAGTGTTAGCCTGAACAGGTCATTCCTCTAGTGTTAGCCTGAACAGGTCAATCCTCTAGTGTTAGCCTGAACAGGTCATTCCTCTAGTGTTAGTCTGAACAGGTCATTCCTCTAGTGTTAGCCTGAACAGGTCAATCCTCTAGTGTTAGCCTGAACAGGTCAATCCTCTAGTGTTAGTCTGAACAGGTCATTCCTCTAGTGTTAGTCTGAACAGGTCATTCCTCTAGTGTTAGCCTGAACAGGTCAATCCTCTAGTGTTAGTCTGAACAGGTCATTCCTCCTAGTGTTAGTCTGGAGAGGTCATCCCTCCTTGGTACATCAAGCCTTGACAGGTCATTCCACTTAGGTACAGGAGTGTTAGTCTGGAGAGGTCATTCTTCCTTGGTACATCAAGCCTTGACAGGTCATTCCACTAAAGTATAAGAGTGTTAGTCTGGAGAGGTCATTCTTCCTTGGTACATCAAGCCTTGACAGGTCATTCCAATTAGGTACAAGAGTGTTAGTCTGGAGAGGTCATCCCTCCTTGGTACATCAAGCCTTGACAGGTCATTCCACTAAGGTATAAGAGTGTTAGTCTGGAGAGGTCATTCTTCCTTGGTACATCCAGCCTTGACAGGTCATTCCACTAAGGTATAAGAGTGTTAGTCTGGAGAGGTCATCCCTCCTTGGTACATCAAGCCTTGACAGGTCATTCCAATTAGGTACAAGAGTGTTAGTCTGGAGAGGTCATCCCTCCTTGGTACATCAAGCCTTGACAGGTCATTCCACTAAGGTATAAGAGTGTTTGTCTGGAGAGGTCATTCTTCCTTGGTACATCAAGCCTTGACAGGTCATTCCACTAAGGTACAAGAGTGTTAGTCTGGAGAGGTCATCCCTCCTTGGTACATCAAGCCTTGACAGGTCATTCCACTAAGGTATAAGAGTGTTAGTCTGGAGAGGTCATCCCTCCTTGGTACATCAAGCCTTGACAGGTCATTCCACTTAAGTATAAGAGTGATAGTCTGGAGAGGTCATCCCTCCTTGGTACATCAAGCCTTGACAGGTCATTCCACTAAGGTATAAGAGTGCTAATCTGGAGTGGCAATTCCATCTGGGTAGGTTATTGTTAGCCTTGACAGGTCATTCTAGGAGGGTGCAAAAGTGCTAGTCTGAAGAGGCCATTCTTTCTTGGTATGTTAGTGTTGGCTTGGACAGATCATCCAGCTAGCATACAGGACTGTTAGAATGGAAAGGCCATTCTTTACCTACATTCCACTTAGGTACACTTAGAGTGTTAATCTGGAGAGATCCTTCCACCTGGGTATAGGACTGTTAGTGTGGAGAGGCCATTCTACCTGGGTATGGGAGTGTTAGTGTGGAGAGGCCATTCCACCTGGGTATTGGAGTGTTAGTGTGGAGAGGCCATTCCACCTGGGTATTGGAGTGTTAGTTTAGAGAGGCCATTCTACCTGGGTATGGGAGTGTTAGTGTGGAGAGGTCATTCCACCTGGGTATTGGAGTATTAGTGTAGAGAGGCCATTCTACCAGGGTATGGGAGTGTTAGTGTAGAGAGGCCATTCTACCTGGGTATGGGAGTGTTAGTGTAGAGAGGCCATTCTACCTGGGTATGGGAGTGTTAATGTGGAGAGGCCATTCCACCTGGGTATTGGAGTGTTAGTGTAGAGAAGCCATTCTACCTGGGTATGGGAGTGTTAGTGTGGAGAGGCCATTCCACCTGGGTATTGGAGTGTTTGTGTGGAGAGGCCATTCCACCTGGGTATTGGAGTATTAGTGTAGAGAGGCCATTCTACCTGGGTATGGGAGTGTTAGTGTGGAGAGGCCATTCTACCAGGGTATGGGAGTGTTAGTTTGGAGAGGCCATTCCACCTGGGTATGGGAGTGTTAATGTGGAGAGGCCATTCCACCTGGGTATTGGAGTGTTAGTGTGGAGAGGCCATTCCACCTGGGTATTGGAGTATTAGTGTAGAGAGGCCATTCTACCAGGGTATGGGAGTGTTAGTGTAGAGAGGCCATTCCACCTGGGTATGGGAGTGTTAGTGTGGAGAGGCCATTCTACGTGGATATGGGAGTGTTAATGTGGAGAGGCCATTCCACCTGGGTATTGGAGTGTTAGTGTGGAGAGGCCATTCCACCTGGGTATGGGAGTGTTAGTGTGGAGAGGCCATTCCACCTGGGTATAGGACTGTTAGTGTGGAGAGGTCATTCCACCTGGGTATTGGAGTGTTAGTGTGGAGAGGCCATTCCACCTGGGTATAGGACTGTTAGTGTGGAGAGGCCATTCCACCTGGGTATGGGAGTGTTAGTGTGGAGAGGCCACTCTACCTGGGTATTGGAGTGTTAGTGTGGAGAGGCCATTCCACCTGGGTATTGGAGTATTAGTGTAGAGAGGCCATTCTACCTGGGTATTGGAGTGTTAGTGTGGAGAGGTCATTCCACCTGGGTATTGGAGTGTTAGTGTGGAGAGGCCATTCCACCTGGGTATTGGAGTGTTAGTGTGGAGAGGCCATTCCACCTGGGTAAATGACTGTTAGTTTGGAGAGGCCATTCTACCAGGGTATGGGACTGTTAATGTGGAGAGGCCATTCCACCTGGTATGGAAGTTTTAGTGTGGAGAGGCCTCTCCGCCTTAATGGCTTGGGATTGTAAGTCTTGAGAGGTCTTTCCAGCAAGGTATGTTATCTTTAGTCTGGAGAGGCCATTTTACTGGGGAAACAGAAGTGTTAGTCCCCCTTGATTTATCACCCATCTCACCATCAGCACCATGGCATAGGGGCAACCAGTTTAATTAGATCAGAATGAATCAGTCAATATTTTGTTACCTTTTAGTATTATGGTAATGGTGATTTAATTGGTGAAATGGCCACAGTTGAACAGTTGTCATTACAGCGATCAATGTTTGTCTTAGCCCCCTGGCAAAACTGGCAGAACAACGAAAAATCTCTATTGATTTTAACAGTCTCCTCACGTGTGATTGGACAATATTTGAAAAATCTTGAAAATTGTTTTTTCATGGCTCACCAAGTGTCAATCCATTTTTACTGTGTTCATCAATAAACACCAATGACACGGATTTGTCCATTATTGATTGAAGTGTGGTTTTACAGATTTTATGGATAAGGATCTATATTCTGTGTAACAAAGGTGATGTGACACGCGCTCAACTTTTAAACATCATCGCTGTGGTTATGAACTGCACCTAGTAAGCCTGTATTGTACACTTTTTTTGACAACTTTGTTAAGACCTGAACACGCAACACACAGCTTGGGGAGCATTTTATCCTTTACATTTTAAAAACCAGGATTTTATTGATAACCTCTGAAGCAGTTTTCTATTTAGTTGACTTATTTTAGCACTATATGCTTACAGCTATCTGTTGGTATATCTTAATTGGTGACCTCTGCTCTGTACATAATGGCTGCTGGTTCTCCCTGCTCAATTTACAAATGGAGACATGCAGCTATAATACACTTTGAGGAGAACCTTTGCTTAAGACACAGGGGAAGGAACATGTGTTATCAAATCTTTATTAAAATCTTTAAATCTTTCATTGATTTTATAATTATTTAGCACTTCACAAAGATTGTTTTATGATAAACTTTTGTGAAATATATGTTCTAAGAGAAATACTTACTAAAAATTTGACTACAGATTTCTTTTTTATCATCTGAATTAGGATAAAGGTAATTGTTTTTGAAAAATTGTCTGTAACATAATTAGTATTATCTGACTACCTGTCTCTTTCTCATAAACTTATGAGTTTGGCTAAAAAGATAACAGAAAATTGGTTTGTCTCAGTTTATCATTTTACCCTTGTGTCTAATGAGACTGATATCACAAAGTAAGACTTTGTATACAAACCAGAGGCACCACAAGCCATATTTTCTTTAGATAAGATAAATTTTACA